AACGAGTATGCCGCAGCTGGTTAAGCTCGCTTACAACATTCCCCACTTGTTTTTCTTAATGCATTCGATCGATTGGCGATCGAAGCGGTTATAGTTGTCTTCGATCTCGCTGAACTTGAACTGGAAAGGCGCTTGGGAATGCAAATGGAAATGAAACAGTGAAATACTGAAATATTCAAATGATCTTCAATAAGAATTGAATGCTATTGTCGAATGTGGGCAAATAGGTGAAAAATAGAAAATGATGCAATAACACACAGATGTAATAGTGATTGAAAGGCTGTCACAATTGTTTTTAAAAACACTTAAGGAAAGCGTTTCCTGTACAGCTTCCAATTACAATTGATCGGCTTTCTATCAACGTTGTGATTACAGTTGCATTTGAAGTGTCAGGTAATTGAACACCTCACAAATGCAGCTCCAGTCATTAGCGGTCTACGAATTAAAAGACTTGTCAAACTTGTCTTAATTCTAGTGTTGTTTATAGAGAAAAAATGTTTTTTCTTAAATATTTATTTCGTGTTTGTGAAGCTGTGAATACTCTGGCTAATCATTTCGCAGAGGTGTGAAAAGTGACGCCTTCTTGTCACGTGGATTATGCTAATACAGATACCTTATCATGCCCAATTATGTAGACAGTCGTCTCAGCAGATCAGATACTACAATTGTATATATAGATAGAGGCGCACACACACAAATATATTCTAAGGTCAAGTTGAAGTCTAAACAAATAGCAGCTGCCTGTATTAAATTCAACAAACAGTTGTTGCTAATAAATTTTGCCTAAATATGAAACGAAAGAGAAACTGTAAACAACGAAAGCGAAATACTCTTTTACATATTATATATGCATATGCATTTTAGATGATTTCGGTGATGTGTTAGGAATATATTAAATTTAACAAAAGTTGAATACCCAATAATTTTAAAATTGCTCATCATTAGATCTGTACGACTTGTTGTGCTTGATGCTTATCTACATATATCTACATATATTAGCTAAATGATATTTGGATTCTATTTAGTCAATATTATATATTTCAATTTCCACACGGTAAAGCTTAAGCTTCATTCTAAGTTTGACTGACTATGACATTATTTACATGTGATATATATGTATATTGTTCTCTTTATTCTTAGAGCATCTCACTATAATATAATACTCCACCCGAAGGGCTTAGAGACTGTGGTGTTCCCCCTATATTAATTCCCATGTTTATGCTATCGTCATCGCTGCGACGCCACGAAATTTACATATGCATAGATCAGCAGACATAAACACATATGCACACACACAAACACATGTGTATATAGAAGCAAATATGTATATATACATGTGTCGCTGTATCTGTTTCTATATCTAAATTTTGTTTACAGTTCAAAGCACTCGCGGCCGCAGGGTCAATGTAAAACCGAGTGGACCATGTCCATGTTTCAGTTGCGTTTCCCAACTCTGCCTGCGCAACATTAAAAGCTCTATAGATATATCATTTTATTTTTACCAGAGAGGGGTGGGCGTGTCAATAAACACCAACTGACACGATAAATTATCGCTGTGTATTGCTGTGCTATCTAATTGCGATTTGAATGCGTTGTTAAATTTAGTTGACTTAGCTGTTGCTCGATATTTTATTTGCTTTTAATTCAGATATATGTATGTAGGCACACATACACACGTATGTTTATGCGGGTGCTATGAGCCATAAAAACTTTTCTATTTCTTAGGGAATTTCAGACAGATGTACCCAAGGTTATCGACAGGTTTGCGTCTTTGCATTATCAAAGAAGACCATTTATTTGGCTTAGGCGGCGACATTGTCCAAAGGCAAGTTCAAGGCTAAGTGACTCAACTAAGCCACATCGTTGCAACTGAGCTTAGTCGACTGTCTAATACTCGCTTGGAAGTAATTCAGAGCCTTAAATTGTAAGCTCACCTAGAACAAAGTTATATAGAATAATAAAAAATGCCAAAATACTTTATCTTTAACCTTATTTCTTTACTTCTATGTCTTCAACTTCGAACCTCCCTTCGGCAATTTGTAAGCGAGTATTAAGACTCTTTAGTGGTTGAGAAGACATTAATGTTTTTTATTTAAGGCGCATGGCCCTTATGCGATTTGATTTTAAAAGCACAGATCAAGTTATTTATTGCGGTTTGTTTGCTCGTCGACTTCCAAGAAATAAATTTGTATCTAAAGCAAAGAGTGCTCAGAAGGCAGTCAAAGTGGAAGTCGCTGCAAAATGTATCTTCATTGTCTTCTGATCTCAGCTCTTTTCGCTCGAAACGTGTTCAAGATACATGCGGAACGATCCTTAAAGATCTTTTTGCCAGTCCGGATGACATCAGCAGTTGCCCCAAATTGCTTCAAACTGGATGTTGCAGCAAGTCTTTTTTTTCGCTTTTTGGTTTTTATGGCATTTTGTCAGACGTGCCTCAAGTTGCAGTTGCATTTGCATTTCTTGAATGTCTCTTTCTTGGGTGTGTGTGTGTGTGTTTGTGATAGGCGTAAGTACTTGAGATTTGACATTGCATCAATCGCTCACAGTTCGATGGGAAATCTACTCAATGCAACTGTCTGGCATATAAATTTATGACAGTTTTATTTACTGAATTGAATATTAATTGAAATACGCATAAGGTTATTCAGCATCCGCCAGTTTGCCCTAAATGGAAGACAACTTGTCAACAACCACAGCCGCGAGACTACTTAGCGTTTAGTTTGGTTTCGTTTAAGGCAATTTATATAGTATACCGAGAATCTTTAACCATTTTGATTTCACAAATTCATAATCAGATTATGTAAATATGGAAATCACTTGAGAAGTGTGCTAACAGATATACACTGTAAAAAACCGACTGATTGACTTTCTGCCTAGGTGAATAAGAAGATAGATATGGAACCAAATCTATGTACTCAAAATATTTCATTTCATTTCGTCAATGAGATAACGATTGTGTTGAACCAGTAAAATGCTGATTGATGGATCGATGATCAACAAAATCCAAACAATCGCTTAAAGTTATATAGAAACACCTTTACTGAAGAAAAGTGAAAACTGAGATTGGAAATTTGGATTTGAAAGTTGTTGAAAATGCACTTCCTAATATCAGTTAAGGCAAAAGCTGACTCATGCAATTATTACAGAAGTAATAAAGCTAAAAGTTACAGCTGAATAGCTGAATTCAATTTCCACAATACAAACTCAATAACAGTCATAATCTAATATAGATTTTTTGTTTTTCTGTGTATTGATCTGATAATTTATATATGTTTGCATGTGGAGGTAACTTGTCCCTACTCAAGCCCTAGAAGATGTTCAGCCAGAGTGGGCGAAGCCGCGTAATAACCGGCTTGTGTGTAACTGAACGATAGCAAACCAGTTGAGCAGTTGACTACAACAACAACCGAATATGTAGCTGCAGTTGTAGCTGAAGGCGATTTCATATAGTTAATTGAGTGTCGGCCACAAATTGATGCCACTTGGTTTTATGAACCGCCCCATTGACGCTGATAATTGGGCGACATAAAAATGGATATGCACTTAATGCTATGTTTCAATTTACCTGGACTTTCCACGCCCATTATGGCATCGGAATCCTCTGCGGGGTCCGCATGTGTGCATGTGTTTATAGTAAATAGCAGATTATAATATTTAACTATGATGTCAGATCTGATCTGCCTGAGTCAGAGCAGTTCAGGTAAACAGACTCGCATCGTAATTGTTTATTTCTAGGCAGCAGCAAATGTTTGCCAGAATTGCAAGAGATTAAAAATAAATGAAATAATTTATGCATGCTAAGCTCATTCGGTTGACTAATGCTGGCAGCTTGAATGATTCGCTAAAGCATTCATATAAATCAAATAAAATTCGCATCTTGTGTCACTGTGCCGCAGCAAAAACTAAAGAAGAACAATTTGTCTGCTATGCAATTTTCATAGTTTTCGCATATTTCAAAGTCAAAATAAGCTGCAAACATCTCATGTTCTGATAATTTTCAAAAAGAATTTTGTATATTTGTGTGCCGAGGTGCCGTATGAGTTAATGGCAAAATTTGCAATTAACAATCAGCTAGAATGGCTTTTATGTGTATGTATGTAAATTTCACTTGTATATATGTACACATGTAAATGGGCATGATGCAAGAGTTCATTCACTAACCAAGCGACTGGATAGCGAGTCTTGGTGATGTATGTGCACATGTACATATACATATGAATTGATCTATAAATAAACCTAGAGCAGGTATGACTAAGAAGTGCCATTGTTTCGAATGGCTTTACAAATGCTCAACTTGGGCTACTTATGAAAGTGAAATAACTCGTGAAATTATTTTTCAATTCTAAAATTAGAATAAAACAAGAAGTAAGCAAAACAAAATGCAGAAATATTTAAAAACCATAAAATTAAATTTCTAAGACAATATTTTTTTTAAGCCAGCATATTTTTTTTTATAAATAACTTTCAGTTTTCTAGGGAAAAGTCTTTTTTCAAGCTATTATTGATTTATAAAAAGTTCCCAAGCAATTGCAAGAATATACAAAAGAATTTTCAAAACAGATTATCAAACAAATAAATATATATTCAATTTTTATTTAAAATTATGACTTATTAAAAAATCTATATTATCATTCCATTAAAAATATGAAATGAAGGCCGAAAAATGTGGCAAAACCGTAAAGATTCAAGCAATTGAATTCATAAATGCAAACGAACCCATAAACATGGTTTGATTACAGATTGAGAAAGTGCATTCGGCCCAAGCGATAGGCCATAAATTAACGGATAATTGACTTTAAAATATGGCACAAGTTGGGCAAGTGCTAAATTTCAATAGCATTTGGGTTTTAGCACCTCAATCGAATGCAGTGTGGGTAATAAATATCTATATAGGTGTTCTTATATATGCATATAGTGGAAGATCGATAGATTTACGAGGCACTCACCTTCGTTCACGTAACCGCCCTCCATGGTGCCGAATGTGTACACCTCGTTGCGGCTGCCGCTCCGTTTGCCTTTGAACACCTTGGCCACGACCTACGCCTATGCGGACACACGAAGAGGGGGCAACAGTTGGGGCGGTAGCCTCGCGGTCTGGTATCTGCAGCTGACTTCTGGGCGATGCACTCGACACCTCTCGTATTTCGAATATGTTTTTCTTATGCTCTCGAGCTACTTATGAGAATGTATGGCACAGCGCTCCCAAGATACGACTAATAATAATAATAATAGTATTGTTGCTTAGCACTTGGATATCGAATTGGGCAGCATTTGTGGCATCATGTGGCACGTCTCACACTCTTTCTCTCTCTGTCTCTTTCTCTCGGTGATTTCCAGTTTTCAGTTGCCGTTGCTTCGTCCCACTGTGCAGCAGAACTTATCTGGCAATTGTATCTGCTGCTCCTCTACAGCTAATACTTCTCAGTGTGTGTGCGTGTGTGTGTTTGGCTTTTCCTGTGAATTTGCATGTGGCGCGATTTGGCTTTTCTAATACTTGCTGTTGTTGCTGGTGCTGCAAAGTAAATGGAAGAGGTGCCACATAAATAAACATGCAACATCAAATTGGCTTTTGATAAATGTTGAACCCCAAGTCTGACCCGAATGTAGCCCCAACAGAAGAAGAAGAAGAAGAACCAGAGGAGGAGCGAAAGAAAAACATATGCACATTCACCGCGAATCAAGAGGGCAGGGCAGGGCCGGKCCGGGTCTCGACGAGATGAACTCTCAGATTTCAAGGCGCTGTCACTGCAGAAATGTTGTCTCTGTGTGAGTATATGTGTGTGTGTGATTGTATTTGTATATCTTTCTGCAGATGCTGTGGCCCATTGCCTGTTCTAATTTTGGATAAGCTTGGTGAAAAGACGCCTTGACATTTGTTTGACTTTGCGAAATTTGCGGCTGCATTTTTAATGAGAAACGACGCGAGACAAGCAGCCACATGCCGCATGTCTCTTGCCGCATGCCCCCATGCATAGCTGAAATCTTTGGAACGACCAACAATGTGGGGCAGATTCGTGTCAATGTAGCTCCAACTAGCCGAACTTCTATCTACATGTTGATAAATGCATTTTATCTAAATAAATGAAGCCATTAATATTGACTGACTGACTGGCTGACTGAGTGAGTGAACGTGTAAATGTGAATGATTGACTGACTGACTGACTGGTAAACAGAATAATTGATTGCTTAGTTGACTGAATGGTAGATTGATTGCTTGACCGACTAGCAAAATGACTGAGTGGCTTGATGACTAGCTGTCTGATTGACTGCTTGACTGGCTGATTGATGAATTGACTGAGTGGTTGACTGGTTTATTGACTAAGTGGTTGATTGCGTGAAAGTCTAAATGATTGACTGACTGATTGATTAAGTGGTCCACTGATGGAGTATTTGATTGACCGAATGCCTGCCTTGCTGATTGACTGCCTGATTGATGATGTGACTCATTCATTTATCAATTTTTGATATATCCATCGGTTAGGCCGAACAACGCCGGATACCCGCAATTCATATGAATAATTTCCAACCAACTTTGGACCATCATAATGCCCCATTAGGCCAATTTGAGGTAAAATCAGACTCAGGCTTAAGCGCTTGCTTGACTTCTTGGAATTTTCACGCCAGCTAACATTGCTTTCGTTGATGTTGCTGTTTGTTTATTTCAACCATTAGTACATAAATTTTGTGGCACTGCGGCAAAGCGTTTTCCAACTTATTTGCAAACAACTGCTGATGTCACTCGGTCAATATTTGCTGCATAAATTGAAAACTAATTTGAGCTGCAAACAAACGAATAAGCGAATGAAATCGTTGCGCTTGTTTGTGTTTTACTTTTTGATTGTTTGTTTTCGTTGGTTGTTTTTCTCTCTTTCCCCAAGTTCGGTTTCCAAGCAGCAAGTTCAATGTCAAATTTGCAATCCACTCAAAACATATAAACACACTGAATTATGATAATTTCTCGCAGCATAAATCATACCTAGACTGGCGGTGCTTAGAATTAAAGTGGAACTAGCAACCAAACCGAACCGCACGCGCACAGAGTTCCGCAAGAACTGACCGGAAAAATGAAAGCCGGAAACAGAAGCGCGATTTGAAGAGAAAGACATAAAAAAGAATCGAAATTGCTTTAACAAAAAGCGCCGAATTTATGCATGGATATACATATATTGTAATAAAAAGAGTGAGAGTGATGGTCGGCAATATGCGACTACTGCATACTCGCCTACATTTTTTTTATGAAACTCTGAAAGGTATCTGAAGTCTTTGGTAAAGATTTGCCACTATCTATCCTACTACTACTAATACTTGTACTATTTCATACTATCTATGCTATAGTCTACCTTAAACATACAGAAACGTATATTGACGGTATACGGAATTATCTAGAGAGTTGTTATTTCATCTATACATATTTCATCTATATATTTCATCTGAGTACCATTGGCTGCCATCGAAAATGGTCATCTATAGTAACAGGTCATATACTCCTCTGTAGCTAGTGAGCGGGCATTACAGCACATAAAAGAGAAGAGCTCGAGAGAGTAACAATTGTCAAAGAGACCCATCAAATGGATTCGGACCGGCGTTGACAGCGAGCAGGCGACTCATCAATGGATTCATACTTGACATTCGCTTTCGGACAGCGCTCAAGAACCAAGAGACCAAGAGACAGCAGCCCGAAGGCCTGCTGCCACACTCCCCGCCCATTAGTCTAATGCCAAATAAGAAGCTCGTAATACTGTCAATTCTTTCATTCATTTTTGGGCAGTTGTTCAATTTGATCGGCGGCAGGCGAAACGAATTTTAATTGATGCGGCAGACCGCAGACGTCACTCGTCGACGGATTGCCCCGGGCGATAAATACATACATAGATATTACATGGGACAGTTGTGTCGCATAATTAATGCGGCACTTGATTAATAATCGTTGAACCCCATTGTGACCCGCAGGCCGGGCCACGCCTTCTAATTTACTAGCACTAACCACTTTTATGCTCCCATTTATGTTAATTGTTATTATTTATTGTTACTACGGTTGGTTGATTTGTTGGAACTATTAGCGCAGCATTATGCTTTAATAATGAATTGTAAAATCTGAGTCTGGCCTTCGCTTTAAAGCAACCCCTATGCTTCGGCTGGGGCATTCAATTCAATCAATTTGATCAATTATTATCTGTTTTTTATATTCTTTTAATTCTTTTCAGTATTTATGAGTGTAAATATTTGAAGTTAAGGACGGTCTACTGCGCATGCCTGGCTGCCTAATTCAATCCCAGTGCCATCAATCAAAGCTACAAATTGTCATCAAGGAAAGGGGATATACAGTTGCCTAGCTCTCTCTCTCTCTCTCTTTTTCTCTCCCTCGCACTTGCCTCTGTTTGTTTTGCTTTGAGCATCGCTTTAATTGTCAGCCCAAGTTTGTAATTATGTAATTGTCATCGTTGTCTCCGCTGTTAAATTCCCGCTGCCTTGAGAGTGTCACATTGTTGTTGACCATGACAAGGGTTTTCGGTGCCCCAACTCCAACTTGTCTGCCCCAGTGGCAAACAAGAAATAACTGAAGATGGGGCTTAGAAAAAGAGTCAAGTGCTTAATTCAATATGAGTGGAAGGAAGTTAGAATGAATGACTTCAGCTTAAGTGCACCTAGTACCAATTAGAGTAAATGCTGAGCCTTGAAGACATCGCTTTGCCTGAATCCAAACTAAAATACTCTACAACAATGGATTGGACAGTAATATTCATTCTACTCAAATAGCACAGAACAAATGCAGTTTGTCCACAAAAACCTAACACAAACATGCTTAAAATATTTATGAAAGATTTGACCATAGAGATAAGCTCACCTTACAGACAACAACTATTCCATTTGTTAACAGATAGTAAACAAAAGTAAAAGTTTGGCTGGCATTTGTCATTGTATGATTTGAGTCATTCAGAATCTTAAGTTCACAAGGCACAGTGGGCCAAATATACGAAAAATAGGCTTAAACTATGCCACTCAAGCAGTTAAGTGGTTGGTAAGCTGATGCTTCATTTCAAGAGAATTAGAATGAGAGTATTTTCGATTGTGTTATAGAGTAGCCTCTGCTCGGCCCGTTGAGAATTCTCTTAATAGAGTCTAACCGCTGTATGTAAATATCGAATCAAACTTAAATTGAATTCAATGACATTACAGAATGAAAATTGAGAGAGCATGATATTTCGATGAAGGGCAAAATGATTTAAAAAAAAACATGAACAAATAATACACCTCCAAGTGCAGATCATAGGCTCTTCTCAGATTTGAGACAACTCGCCAAAGTAAGTATTATTTACGCTCAACAACTCTTCCATCTATTTTCAAAGGTAACTCAGAGACTCCTCCAACAGCTAAGAAATCATACTTAAGTCATAAATATGCTTTTTCAACGCACTCAAATTTTCGTGTTTAGTAACAAATTATGCATTTTATTGATTGGTCAAACCGCTTGACAAACATTTAATAATGTATCTTTGTTAATGGCACTTTGTAATTAGTAAGTTTATCACTGGGCTGCGACCTGTTCACGCTGACTGCAACAGCTGACATTACGTATACGTAAGCGTATATTCATATATTATGTATACGCCGATGCAAGCTTGAACGCCGGTCATTAGCCAGCTCCAGCTCGCAGCCATAAAACCAATTGAGTGTCAGTTCAGCAGGCCAAACAAAACAATAGAACTCTGGCGAGCTTGTGTGCAGTAGCTGTATATTCATATACATATACATACACATATATTGTATATATCGCAGTCAAAATTAATAGCGCCTGTTTCTCCTCTTTGTTGCTGTTGGTTTCTGGTTTTGTCAATCGACGACGACGACGTCATCGTTGGCTGTCAGCTACTGTTCACCGACAATTTAATATATAATATATAGTCAGCAAAGAGATAAAACAACATGGTTTATTTTCGCTTTTTGTTCTCTACCGAAATAAAAAAGCACAAAATTCATAAATCTATTGAAAGTAAATAGCGAAAAAGTGGGTCAGCTTTTGGAATTAGATGAAAAGCACTTGAGGTAGTAGTATGAATATATATACGTATCTCTATAAAAAAAAAACACATCAATCATAATAATGTGTGAATAGCAGCCAAAAACAGCTCAACTTGTACTGAAGTACACAATGTTATAGACTCTAATATTGTCAGACCAAGTAGCTCGTGGCGTATGCCTAATTCTTACTCATGAATTCTACACACAAAATAAAATAATTATGTGTAGCTGACTCAACAGCCAAATTCAGCGCACTTCTTGTCGGCAAAAATTTGTAGTATAAACTGAATATAATAAAGGCATAGGGCAATAAAAACGAGAGTCTAGAGAGCAAAGACGACTGCATAATACTCGCTCAAGGGCGAACAGAGTTAATGTGTTGTCTCTTTAGAGGAGGCCAAGGAATAGCCATTTGCAAAAGTTTATGATTGTCCATCTAAATTTGAAGAAGACTCTGCAATGTTCCATCTCTCGATATCAATCTAGAATATATACAGGTCTTAGAAATTCAGCTCTAAATGTGGAACTGAGAAGTGGATTTTACTTATTTTTTTTTTTTATTGCCAAGTCTCTGGCTTCAGTTATTATATAACTGAAGGGGTATAACAAGCAATATTCTTCCGGCAGCGGCGCCTTATTGGGTAAAAAGCCCTAAAGCCGGACAAAAACAAAAACAAAACGTGATGAAAATTGCAACCGATGCCGACAATTATTAAAATTGAAACAGCTTAACTAAAAATATATTTTCGGCTTTTTTATTTATTTTTATTTAACACCTACAGCAGCTGGCATCAAGTTGAATGTGCATAGAAAACTTTTTAAAATTAGGTAAATAAATAATTTGCTGTATTTTCCTCATAGATTTCCAAGAATTGCGAAATGCTGCGACCTTCAGCATGAGTTAAATGTGCTTCATTAAGGTAATTCTTCTCACATTTTTCGTTCAGTTTATTTGTTAATGAAATATTTCTGAAAATTCAWTCGAAACAATTTCATTTCATTTCGCTCGCCTGTTTTTTAGTTGTTAGCTTTAAGTATATTTATAGCTGATCTCATTATATGCTGTCCCTACTTGCCATGAACGATTTGAAAGGCGAGCTAAATCATTAAAAACTGTTTTTGATATCAAAATTGTATAAAGATGTATATACACATAGGTATAGGTATGTATAGGTATATATACTTTTTTGCTTCGCATTGGCATTTTATCGCAAAGGTTGGCCAAGTGATGCGTGTGTCTAAATTTTGTGGAATCAGGCAAGTCAATTAAAGGGGCCTAAAATAGTTTTTAACAGTTTGCTGTTGTCGTCCAAACGTACAGTGGACCAATTGGACAGTGGTACGCTCTTGTTTATGTTGGCCTTTTCGTGGTCAGCTGACGTAATTCGCTGTCCAAGGTTAGCTGCAGCTGAAGCTGTTGTCTGCGCATGAGTTGCACTATCTTTCTTGATCTCGTTTGGGTATGTCACACAAACACTCACACACACACAATACRTGCTCTCAAATGATTAGGCGTGAGGCTTAAATAAGTTGGGCAACTATGTGTAACAGTCATTAGAAGACAGAGAAAATATATAAGTATATATGTATATGAATGCAATGCTCGTATAACTTTATAGTATAAGTCCTTTTGGATATACAATATTGATTTGTTTACATTGATATAATTAATATATAGTTTCTAACAAGTATGTTGTTTTCTTCTTTATATTATATATCTATTTATATTATTTTTAAAATATTTTTTTTTAATCTCGGTTTAAACTTCAGTTGAATTTTTGGCTTACTCTCCCAATTTAATGCCGGATTGCATGTGATCTTTCAACTGCTCATGATGATCATGATCATGTTGCCAAAATCACATAATCAGATGTTTTAAAAACATATGCCAAAAAATACTACATATAAAATAGATTTATGACTAATATATATTAGACTATATTAACAGTTCTCTGCTCTTATCTGCACTCGGAATCTTGATCATAAAAGTTAATCTCGTAAATAATTGCATGTGATTATGTATATGATAGAGTCTACACTTAACAAGTGGACAATCTAATAAATTGCCAAGCCGGAACAGATAACGCTGCAGGTTGATGTCATATGCCATTATGGGAGCTCGCTCGTATGGAGCGTGTCAAATGCTCAAGTAAGTATTTCGCATGCCTTATATACTTAGTATGCCGGCTGCAGAGCTCGACCTGGCGAAGACTATCGCCCCAATCCTCAGTGAAATGAAATTTCATTTTCTTTTGCATTGCGTGACCAGCTGCCGGCTCCACCTACAACTGCAACGACTGCCCTCGCACCCATTGCAATTGTCATTTATAGTATATATATATTTCTCTGTTGCTGTTTTTTCTGTTAAACACGCATAAAAATTTAACGCTCTGGCATGTTTGTCATGTGCCGCTGGCCTTTTGACCTGCCGAGCGGCTGATGAAGTTGGCTGATATGACCGTTGAAAACTGGAGGAGGGGAAAGAGTGGTTGTTTACTTAACTGAAGAGTGGCAGAACGCGCGCGGGAGCCATCATCAGCTACACTTCGACTTAGGCAGGCGTGTCCAGCGGGGCAAAAGCTACAGAGCGTCAATAGCCCCTGCTCCAAACAGTTCTTTTTTTTTTTTTTTTTTTGTTATGTGTGTCAAGTCGAATTATATACGCTAAGTGTGAGTGTGTGTCTATGAGTGAGTGAGTGTGTGTGAGTTTCTGGCAGGTGGTTGCTAACAGCGGCCAAATGTAGCTGTCGCCACAGCAGTTGACAACTGAGGTTGCGTCCATATTCATAATTGCATATTCACATTTTCTAATTTCCCTTGCAGTCATCTGAGTGAAACATACAAGTTCACGTATTCACTACTCGCTTTAGACTCATATTCAGACATTTGTATTCTTAATTATTTTCCTATATTCGCATTCACATTTTTCACGCTCATATAGCTGAACATACTCATATACTCTTTTGTTCATATATTTCAATGGTTATTCAGATTCACATATTTCAAATGCATGAAGCACATTTTATAAATATTCATATTCACTCTCATAAAGCTGATCGGTTCTGCATTCACAAAGATGGCAAATATCACATATACAAATACATATTTACAATTTAATTCATATACTGTAGCTTTTAGTTGATATTCATATATATTTACCTTTTCATTCATATATTTCATTCATATAGCTGTATTCTTAATATATAAACTATAATAGTTTATATTATGTATTTCTATTCGCCTACACAAAAGTCATCTGTCAAAAGAATATGAATACGAATCACATGGTCACTCATATTCATAATCAATAACTATTTGCGGATGATGTTCACATCTTATTCACATTCGCATATTCACCTTTTTCATTCATATATACAAAACCATTTAGTTGAACCGCCTGCACAGGCAACTCACGTTCACATACACAGATATATATGTATATATATATAGATTCACACACTCATTTAGCTGCACACTCAACTCTTGCGCGCAGCTCTCATTCATCTTCATTTAAGGCCTGCATTTACATTTGCATTTGCCACATTCACTTGGCTTTGTCATCTGTCAAATGCATCGCTCTGTTGGTCCAATTGGACGTTATAAAACATGAATATTCCGGTTGGAACATTTGGGATTGCCCTCTTGTCTTATCAGCTGACAGCGAGCTATCAATCATCTGTAGCACATGACACACGAATCTTAATCCAAACCTTAAACTGAAACTGAAAACGAAACCGCAACTGAAACTGAAACTGAAACTGAATGAAAGCAGCTTTTGGCACGATTTCGTCACCAGGTTCATATTAATTATATATACATACATATATATTCTATTTGGCACCTATATTCGGTGCTATTTCGGTGGATGCGCCAAGTGTTGCTGGCTAATTGAATTTATTGCGCGCCTCACTAAAATAAACAAATGCAACTCTCACACATATCCACACTCACAATGTCACACACACACACACTAGCTAATACATTTGCTTTTGTTTTTATCACCTGACGCTGAGTAAATTTTTGCATTCTGCTCTGTATTATATACGAGTATGAAAGCAATTTATAGACCAAACAGTCGCACATATTTGCTTTTTATTTAATGACAAACAAAATTGTGTGTTTATTTCTTGTTTTTGTTGCTTTTACACACACGCACACGACAATTTTACGACGTGGCTAACCTTGAAGGTGGTAGCCAAGCAACTTAAAATCGCATCTATCTATCTATAATATATATTAGTATATA